TTCAGCGTAAAGAAGAACAAGGAGTCCTGGAAGTGATGGTTTGGCCCCCACAGAGCCCTGTATACTGTATATACCCATCATGCTATTCCTTTTCAACATTATACAAAGAACAGAGAAAGAGTAAGAAGTAATAAGCAAATGAAATTGGAGGCAAGATATATTGGAAAAGAAAAAGGAAACTTAATTGCACTAATTACTTTTTATATATTAAAACCATTTTAATAATTTTGATGGAGTTTTGTCATATACTTTTACATTGCAATTCTGTGCATATGTAATAGGAAATACTGTAAGTTCCATGTATTTATTTCTAAGTGTAGATGGAGTTACATTGTTGCAATCCTATAGGTCTGTATGTGGAAATAAAGCCCATTAAAATAAATCCAATTTTTTTAACAAATGTAGTCCTGAACTGACAGCATTCTGTCTTGGAATTACTAAATTTGCAAACTACAAAAATATTACACTCATGGAGAGACAAAGTGTAGACACTTCAAATAAGTCCTAGGGGTATAGTGCTTTCAACTGAATCACAACCTAACACTTTATTCACAAGCATTTTGCTTTCTCTTTAGGAGAGAAGCATCTCATGCTCTTTTGGGTGAAAAACTGAATTGTGACCTGTTGAAACAGGTAACATTTTTCCTGTTCATATTTAGGTGGCTGGAGCATTGGCTGAGGCAGGTGTTGGTCTGAATGAAATTGTTCGTAGAATTACTGCTGTTGCAGGAGCAATGGGTAAGTGTTCACTTTTCTAGAATAAATCTCTGGACTAAATATAGCTCATTCCTGTCTATCTATCATCTGATTTATAGAGCTGCCCATCTCACATTAGTAACTCTGGAGGGTGTATAAAGATTAAAGCCACCACAACATACAACCCCTGATGTCCTGGTTAAAACAACAACCTCCAAAATAAAAATCACATCACCAGCAGAGCTTATCTAATTTCCTGGCCCAAATGCCTGGGGAAACAGCTAGGTCTTCACAGCCTTACAAAAGACTAGCAGGATTAATGTCATCCAGATCTCTGGAAGGATGCTGTTCCAGAGGGCAGGCACAGCCACAGAAGGCACAACTCTGAGAGATCAAGGAGGGCCAGGATGGATGCGCTACCCCCATCTCCAGCCTGCCAAAGGTCATTGACAAGTCTGATCAATGCCATCTCAATGCCTATGGCCATGTGTGAATCCTGACTGAAAAGGGTCCGGATAATCTATTTATTCCAGAGCTCTCTGAAATGATAAACCAGGCACCTTCTCAACAATCAGTCCTTGGAGACTGGACAGAAATTGTTCATATCTGTTGGGTCCAGTGATGGCTTCTTAAGGAGGGGGCAGACAACCACCTTGTTCATTGTAGGTGGAATCACTCCCTCCTGCAGAGAAGCATTCACCACCACCTGGACCCAGCTGCCTGTCACTTTCTAGGAGAGCTTAATCAGCCAGGAGGGACAGGGATCTAAAATACAGGTAGCCAAATTCACAGCTCTGAGGCCCTGTCTACCCCATCAGGGCCAACAGGTTCAAACTCTTCCCAGATAACCAGGCAAGACTGTATCTCAGGCAACTCCATAGGACCTATACAGTCAGATTCCAACTCCAAGTGAATCCAAGTGGCTTTATCCAACAGATACTAAGAGTAATCCTCACAGTGCCCCTGCAAGTATTCCCACGGTCCCTCCTTACCTAGATGGGACTGGGTTACAAGAGCTGATTTTAAAGGACAGTTGTTTAAAAAAAGTTTCAATTATGCCATGAATATCAGAAAAATTTGGAACAGCCAAATTTTTTACCTTAAACAGGCCATGATTGGCTCTCTGCAGATGCAATAAGGACAGAGGAATAACTACATTTAATTTCCCTTTTCACCACAAAGGGAGGGCCAGTGCAGGCCATGCATGAGTTGGGGGAGGGTTGGGGGAGGGCCTGGGAGGCCTGGTACAGGCTGGGCATGAGCACAAGAAGGCCAGGGGAACTTACCAAAGCAACTTGCAACTTTCCCTGCCCCATTGAATTTGCTTGTGGAAAACCAGTAAGGAATGCCACAAATGGCAATCACATGACCGTGGGACGCTGCGACCATCATAAGTGCAAGCTGGTTGTCAAGCGCCCAAATTACAATCATATGACTGTGGGGGCGCTGCAATAGCCGGAACTTCAAGGAGTGATCGTAAATACCACTCGTTCAGCGCCATTGCAACTTTGAATGGCCACTGAACGAGTGGTCGGTAAAGCAAGGACTACCTGTAGTGAGTAGCAATTAGAATGAGGAAATACAAGGAAGATCCATATTTTAAATCCCAGTTATAAATCTTACTCTTTAAAAGGTGACTTTAAGTTAGTCTTAATCTCTTAGTTTTAAGTTCTGTGACAGGGGCCTTATGAGAAAACTATGGAATATAAATATTATCCATATCCTTTCTTGAGAAGAATAGAATAAAACAACAGTAACAATAATACATTTTCTTAAAAGTTATACTTGATTTTCTAGTATGAATAGTACTTATTCCAATTTGGCATTTCTCCTAATTCCATACCACACAGTGAAATTATAGTACCATTTGGGATTCTGTGCCATATTCCAACACAATAAATATATTGTTAATCTATTTTCTTACATTGACACTGATTGCTACCCAGGATAACTGCATTTTTCTTTTTATACATTTTATTTGCATAGGCACTCTTGGGGTAAGTCTGTCCCCCTGCAGTGTCCCAGGATCTAGACCCACCTTCCAGCTTGCAGATGATGAATTTGAGTTAGGATTAGGTAAGAATGTGTATATTACTTTTATCCATCTCCTTCTTTAGAATGGCATGATGAATGTCTGTTATCAGAGGTAGCTAGTGGTAATGAATGTATTATTGCATTATTGATGATGGAATGATACCGGTTATTGTTCTGGTTTCTACACAGTAAACTCCTTTGTGGTTAAATTGATGTGTCAACAGGAATTAAAGAGTTTCTTCCAGACAAATTTAATTTCTAAAATTTCCTTAACTACAGCAAGGGAAGCTAGTAAAGCATTCATAAGAGGTTTGTTTAACATCAAACAGAAAGAAAGCCATTCAAAAGCAGAGAGACCGGTTATTGAATCGTTTTAAACAATCAGAAACAAGTAATAAACTAAATCCAATTTTGGATATAGAGCAAAAAATAAAAGTAATACACAACCAGCTTGATTTACTAGAAATAAACTTAGAAAAAAGTTGAACTTTACTAGACAAAATATTTCAAAAATGTTTTGAAAAAGGCAAGAAACAAAATAAATTGTTAGCTTATCAATTATGGAAGCAACAGAGTAAAAGAATTATTACTTTTATCTGAGACAGAACCAAATACATTTCAGTTTGTCAATTATTATTCAAAATGATACAATGAACAGGAGTCTGACCCAGCAGAAGCTGAAGAATATTTGAGTGGAATGTTACTTACAAAATGTACAGATCAACAAAAAGAGGCTCTCAACTGGCACATAACAGAAGATGAAACCAAAGAGGCAATCAAAAATATAAAACTCTAGGACCTAGTGGCATTTCTGCAATTTCAAGACTTTTCAAGAAATTAGGAAAGGATCCAATTTGTCCTGAAGCATACAGGCTCATTTTGCTTTTAATGTGGACTACAAACTGCTTATGACAATCCTTGCTAAGAGGTTAAATGTTTTTTTCCATTGGATACTCTCTGATCAAATGGATTTTATCCCGAAAAGATATATGATATTAGACATATTAGACATATTCTAAATGTTATTGATAAGATAGATCAGAAAAACTAAAAATTGGCCATGATTTTTCTTGATGCTAAAAAAGCTCTCACAATTTGGAATGGACTTTTTTGTTTGCAGTTCTTAAAATTTACACTGATTTATTTTTGTCATGAGGATACAGAGTATTTACAAAGTACAAAAAACTAAAAAAAATAGATTAAGATTGTATACATGGAATTGTGTCATATCTAAAATTTGGGTTTTAGAGTTTATACTTTAACTTGATGTATAATCTGTAGTACTGTATTGTCTTAATGTATTGTTTATCACAGTTTCTCTTTTTATTCCTTTTTAATTATCTGAATTGTGTTAACAAAGTAATTTTAGTCCAAAATTTGTTTTTGTTTAAAAATGGACATGAAATATGTTATAGTATTAGAAACTTTTAATGATGTATGAGAATATATTAGTTATATGATACTTAAGATTTCAGGGTTATAACTTCTTGTGCCAATATTTGGTTCTTTATCTGTATTTCCTATTTTCTGTATTATTTACAATGTATTTGTATTTCCTATATTCTTTTTAAAATAGATAATTTTTAAGACCTGCTGGTGATGGTGTGAGTACAAAAATAAATGCACTTTTCTGGTTTTTAATCCAAGAGAGGTTAGGATTTTGTTACAGTATTACATTAATGTTTTCAGTTTAAAAAGAAATTAATAGCTGAAGATACTTTGCTTTTTCTGTAGGAATCCATGGTGAAGCAGGTGTGCGCAGAATGAAGGTAAGTTGGCTGTGACCCATCTTGCGTGTCTAGAAGTATAAGCTTGCCCACTAACACATGTCATCTTCACAGATGGCATCTGCAGATCAGATAGTCAAAATAATGCTGGATCACATGACCAACCCTTCCAATGACTCGTGTGTCCAACTCAGGCCTGGTGAGTAACTTTGGATTGAAATACCTATTATTCCCCAAAGTTCTCAACTATTTCTGTGTGATTAAGTTCCTTTTTAAAAAATCTAATCAGTTCAGCCACTGTAATAAATTTTTATCTCAACAGCAGCATTTTCTCATGAGAATTTACTATGTGATTGGCAATCATAGGGACATTTTGATTGCTGCGACTGTTACCATTATTACATGTACTAATCTAATATACTTAAAGCATCCTCTGTGTATTAATATTTGCAGATTACATTTATATTAGGCTTCCAGCCTGTAGAAGCAGTTTTCAATTTTACCAACCTTTGCTTTGTCTTTCAGGTGCTTCTGTGGTCTTGGTAGTGAACAACCTGGGTGGATTATCCTATCTTGAGTTGAATATAGTAGCTGGATCTGCTGTGCATTGTCTTGGTAAGTTTTTTCTTGAAAGTAGGGTAGAGGAAGACAAACATCCAGCTATCAGCAAAGTGAAGCAAAGTGCATGCACTCTTTTGAATGCTTTGCATACCTCTACCGTAATTACTTAGGGTTCGACTCATTGTCATGGAAACAGACAAGATCTGCTCCAGAGCAGACACCTTTTGGGTACATTTCTTGACCTAACAAGGATATAACATTTAATTTAATACACACATAAATCAGATTTTGAAGTAATAATGTTGACAGGAAGTAAAACATAATCAATTTTACTCTTGGACAGAGACTGGGATTCAGCTGCATCATAAATCAACCCATATTGTCTAGACCAGCATGACAACTGGAATACTACAAAAGCTGTTTCCAAGCAGATAGTTGAATATAACATAGCCGATTGTATGGGGAAAGGGGAAAAATATAGGATCCGATATTCTGGCCCAGAGGACAATTATATTCCCAGGGCAGCAACCCTTGAAATGAGTACACTCTATTCTTCAAACTTTCTTAACAGAAGCATAATTGGATGCTCCCCCACCCAAACTCATATCCTACTAGTATAGACATCTTCTGTTGGATTGGGGACAGCAACTCATCCTCCCAGCTCGCAAAAGGCTATTTATTCATTGATGTGATGATTACCAGAAAGGGTGGAGCTGAAATTTTTCTCTGGGTTTTGTTTTTTGGTTTTGTTTGGGGAGGTTTTTTGGCTCTGTTTGGAGGGAATTTAAGAGTGGGAATGGAAGCGGGGATATTGACTTTGGAGCAACTGATAGATGATGAAGATGAAGTTTTAATGTATGCTATGTTAAGAGATAAATATCATCTGTCAGATGTAACCCAATGGCAATATTTACAGTTACAACATTTGTTAACAACATTGTTTGGACCAGCAGCGTTTTCAGTTTCTGAGACACCTGAGATATTAGAACAACTTATTAAATCCTTTAAAACTAAAAAAAACCTATTAGTTTGTATAGATATTTGTTATTAATAAATCAATTTGATATGCAGATGTTAAAGGATGAGTGGAATAAAGAATTAGAGGTTTCTGTATTGCCTAGACAATGGGAGACTGTCTTAACTTCTATAGCAAGAGTGTCAATGGACCTTAAACTACGACTTATACAATAAAAAATAATATTTAGAATTTATTGGACTCTACTATGTCTGTATAGAAAAGGATTGTCAAAAACAGCTTTTTGTTAGAGATGTAATAAGGACAGTGCTTCCTTAGAGCATATGTTTTTACAATGTTCTATATTTATTAAGTTTTGGGAGAAAGTAGTGGACTATATACAGTCGTGTGAAAAAGAAAATACACCCTCTTTGAGTTCTATGGTTTTATGCATCAGGACATAATAAAAATCATCTGGTCCTTAGCCATTCTCAAAAGTAAGTAAATACAACCTCAGATGAACAACACATGACATATTACACCATGTCATCATTTATTTTACAAAAAGAAAGCCTAACCTGAAAACCACCCTACTAAATTTCAGTATTTGCCATTGTGAGATTCCCCCATTTTTAAAAAAATGCATTCCAGAACTTTTAAAAATAGATTTTGAAAATTTTCATAATGTCTAATTTGTAGGCAGTGTGTACCTGTACATTATTTTTCTCTTCCGTACTACTTTAATTCATTTTTCAAATTATACCATGTTTACTTGTTTTTTTAATCTAAAACAATAAATTGATGATAATCTTTGTTAATTTATATTGATCTCTGGCTGATAAGAATTTTGTATACCCATAATGAATTGATGTTCTTAACTTGAATTTACTCTTTACAAACAAGTAACAAAAACTAGGCATGAGTTCATGGGGGACCTTGGTCACGTTATTTAGCATATGTCAAGATTTTCCAGCCCTGTTGGAAATGCCTTAGTAAATAGATCTGGCATGGATAATGTCCTGCCTCAGGGAGGACTACTCCTATTTGGGAAAGGAAAAAAACTTACCAGAGATCCAGGCTCACATGAAAGGGGAAAGAATCATTGATGCAGTTCTGACACCTCCAGGCTGTTTCAGAGGCCCCCACAACCCTCCATATTTTCTAGAGATGGAGGTGAGGGAGGAGTTAGTAAAAATTAGTGAAAACATTCCATAATCAATTCTGCTTGGGGGGTGTTTGAATCTTATAAGGCCCAGGTATTGAATTTCCCCTTGTTGCAGTCACATCACTTTGGAAATGTTATGGACTGGTTTCTTTTCTTGTCAGTTGTTTATATATGATTAACTTTCTCATGTTTTCCCAAAATACAACTTTGCATTATTTAAAATGGACAGAATTTTCATTTTTCTTAATCTGGTTCATTCATGACAGTTACCTTCTTTTCCTTCTCATTCTGTTCTTCACCCTGAACAATGCTTCAAGTTTTCCTTGCTTTATCATTGCAGAGAGCAGAGGTATTCATATTGCCCGGACTTTGGTTGGCTCCTTTATGACTGCACTGGAAATGGCAGGTGTCTCCCTTACCATTCTACAGGTGGATGAAGAACTCTTGACCCTCCTTGGTAATTTCCCTAGATGTTGGTTTTCTTCCCACTGCTGTAGTTGGAAAAGTAAATTGTGAGTTAATTGAGCAGAATATGTCTGTGGAACCATCAGTTTAAAATTATATTTCTTGACATTTTGGACATGCTCACTGCAGATACATAACTAGCATCTTCAATTGTGTACTATATCTTTATTTTAAGCAGTATCTTATTTAGCTGTCTATTATGCTGGATCTGATTATTTGGGGACTGTTGTCAGATATGTGTCCTTTTTACACAGAAAAAACTGCCGGAAATTTTCAGGAGTTCATTTGTTTATGTTCTTTTGTGAATGTGAAACTATCTTCAATTGCTGTCCACAATTGTATTTAAATTCCTAGATTCAGATACTACAGCTATTGCCTGGTCAAAACCTGTCAGGATGTCTGTGACAGGACAGAAAAGAGAGAGGGTAGTACCCAAAGAGAAACCTAAGGAAGAAGGGCCTGACCCAGCAAGAGGTACAGTCTGAAATACTATTACAGCTAGAATGGGATTTCTGCTGTGCTGGATTCATTTCATCAGCTGAGACTGATCCTGGCTTCCAGGTAATGGTGGAGACGCAGAGTGGGAATGAAAGATCTGAGGCACCATTATATCCTGTTTGGAAGACTGGACAAAAAGGGCTTGATCAAGGACATGTGTGCAAGTCACTGAGACTTGCATTGACTTCTGTTCTTTTTTCCATCTCTGCTTGAGCCTGGCCCCCTAACATTTTTGTGACACAGCAGAAGAGACAGATAACATGTATATTGGCTTGTGGAACAATAGGTAGAAAATTGCCAGAGTGCCTTCCTTGCATCTCTCTGGTTCCAGAGCTCTGGATGAGTGGCTCTGGTTTTGGTTTTGGTTTTAATACAGCACATTTTCCTTTCAAAGGAATTGTAATTCTGTCTGGCATAAGGCTGATATGCAAATCTCTGACCACTGACCTGATGCTCACTCTGTAGTGGGAATTACAAGGGAAGGGAAAGAAGATGGTCAGTGATTTTTATGTTCTGTGGGAAGGAGAGAGCCAAAAGCAGCTTAGAGTTTGCCAGTGTTCTGTAAGCTGCAGCATTTTAAGAGAAGCTGATTTAAGATAGGGAAACACCCTTTCAGAAATTATACCAAAGCAATCAAACTCATCCTTTCCATTAAAGAATAAGGTTTGAAATTGGGTTTTGGGTTTTGGTGTGTGGTTATTTATTTCCAATAAAACAGTGTTATTTTACTAAATTGTAAGGTTATTGTTTTGTTTGATATATAGATTAAAACGTAGTTATTAAAAATAATATTTACTTCTTGCCTAACTCTAAGCCCAATGAAATAGTTTTTGTTTATGGGGCAGTCACACAAATTCATTTTATCATTTTAGGTGGCCACAGTATCGCAAAATTTGAGAACTTCTATCATAGGACAAACATCTCACGCAGAATGTTCAGATTACTTCATTTCAAACACAAGAATTTTTCAGTGAATTATCACAAGTGTTCTACTTCTTCATCAGTCATCGAGTAAATAAGTTATGAGTCATCCAGTACAGACTTAAATTTCTTTCACAACCTTCTGATAAAGTGTTTAGTTGGTTAAGTGATCTGTGTCATTAGACTTTATCTTCCTATACATATAAGAAACAGAAATAAATGGCAGCATTGGTACTTCTTCTGTAAGACTGAGTGTATGAAATTTCACCATTATTGGAAAAAAATAACTAGTTGTTTCCATTCCTTTTAGTGCCAACCTCTCCTTACACGAGACTGGTTCTAGAGTGTGTGTGCTCTAAAATGCTTAGCCTACAGGAGCAACTCAATGAACTTGATCGTGCTGCAGGCGATGGAGATTGTGGCAACACACATGCACGGGCTGCCATAGGTTAGTTCTCTTATCATACTCTAAGCCCTGGAGTCAACTTATGTCACATTAGAACCTTGGAGTTCAAGATTACTGTATTTCAGATATTAGTGTAGCACGTTTAAAAAAATCAGTGTTGAATTCCATTGAGCTCTTGGAGTTTAACTCATTTTTGGTTAGAGCAATGAAAACACAAAATATCCTAATCATAGCTAAGGCTACAGAGATAGCTGTATTTCAGGCTGTGAACATACTTTAACTTTTGTGTGCCTGATAAAAATGAGAGAATAATCTCAAGTGAGATTTAAGCTTTATGCCCAGAAGGATAAAGCTTTCTTCCAAACTATGAATAAGATAAGAGGGGTTTTTTGGAGAAAAAGTAAAGATCATAAATAGAGCTTAAACAAAATAGAACTTGTGTGTTTACTGTGTTTAAACCAGGGACAGATTGGGATGGAGGGATGAAGATGGGGAGCAGACCAAATTTGACTGAAGTTGCAAGTGAGCAAAGGTCTATAGACAAATTTTGGAGGTATTCATAATTCAGGCTTGCTTTGGGTGTTGTTTTTTCTTTTTAAAGAAAAGGCTACAGTGAATATGAGTTGTTGTTCCTCCTCTCTCTGCATGGGAGATTACGTATCCTCTTAATTGTACGTAATCCTCTTAATTAAACATAGATATGTTAAGATTAATAATTTGAAAGTAGTTATGTTCCTTCTCAGGAGAGGAAAAGACTTAATTTTTTTCTGATTTTGTTGCTAAATGACTCCTCAAGGGTGCTAGTGGTTGAATACAATCCGAGATGAAGAGGGCAAGAGAAAGCTTGAAAAAAAAAAGAGAGAGAGAGAAAGAGAAAGCTCCTGGGGTGTATGTGCATCTTTTTTCCTGGTACTTTAAATAACCATACCAAATCATGGATGTCAGCACAACTGTTTTGCAAATCTGCTAAGTTTCCTATTTGATAACCCTTCTTGGAACTTGTTGCTTAAAATTGGTGTTTTTTTTTAAATACAGAATTAATGAATGCCAGCTAGAGGGTTATAATGTCTAACCATGAGTATTGCTTCCTCAGCCATCCAGAATTGGCTAGATGCTAGACCTCTGCCTGAGCACCCTTATCAACTGTTCTCTTCCCTAGCCATGTTGCTGCTGGAAAAGATGGGAGGGTCTTCAGGGGCGGTGAGTGTTGGCTGTTAGTTGAAGATGAGAGCAAATGGAACTGCTAGATTTGGTGTGTTTAGTCTGGAAGAAAGCAGTAAGAAATAGAGAACATTTCTTTAATTATTAGTTTAATTGACAGCATCTAACCAACTTTGACTGATCTCAAAAAACAAAGCAAAGTAGGATCTGGGTAGTTGGACCTTGGATGTGAGAACCTCCAGGAAACTTAAAGGTGAATCTCAGTTCAATTGAGAAGTTGAAAGTATATCTCAGAAGAAGGCAATAGCAAACCACTCTGTTTTGTTGCCAGGAAGCACACATAGATTTGTCCAAATCACTAGGAATCAAGCTTGACTCACAGGAGAATTTAACGTTTAATTTGTGGATTAAGAAATATAGTTGTGTAAACATGAGTTTACGCAAGTATGCATTTATAATAATGTTTCCTTTTAGGAAAACTGGTAGAAGAAAACACTCGGATTTATAGCTGAGTCAAACCCTTTGAAAATCAATATACTTTACAAATTGGAAAAACTGAGGACTTCTTAGATCTGAAGATATGAAACTTACAGTGGATGAAAGAATATATAGAACAAGATACTGTGCTTTGTAATCATCAAGTCCTATATGTGCAATTTTCACATTTTCCATTTAAGCTGTGTAATGTACAGATCTGCAGATAGTTGGAATACGTTTATTTATTTTATTTACAGCTGTATGGATTATTTCTGACAGCAGCTGCTCAACCTCTACGGACTGATGATGACTTAGCAGCCTGGTCCTTAGCTATGGATGCTGGTATTAATGCTATGATGCAGTGAGTGTAACTCTGACTTAATTATAGCTCAGGAAGTATAAACAATATATGTTCCTTTGCTCTTTCATAACATTTCATGTATTGTCATGTGAAAGAGTGGCACCGTTTTTACAGAAAGTAAGCCAGGATTACTGTAAGGAAACATCATTTACTTCAGTTCCATTTGTCTCCTCCCATTAGCTGACCAGAAATCAGAGCTTCCACAGGAGTGAGTAACATGCACTCCTAGGACTACAGGTAGCCCCAGTACCCTTTTCATAGCCCTCGGAGCTTCTTTTCACTGCATGACTGAGTGATTTCCTGCCATTTGAGACAGGAAACAATCTTAAAACAATTTTTACAACCAAGAAAACCCCTAATTCTCACTTCCATAAGAAACAGAAACTTCTGTTTTCATTAATGTGTATGATGTGACCCTATTCACTTTGTTTCGTCATCTTGTTACTATGGCCCTCAGCTCCTCCCCCAAACTACTAGGTTTTCTATTGCCTGTTTAAGTGCTTGCATGAACAAGGCCAGGTTTTACAAATATGCTATTTGAACTATCCTGAACTCCCTATATTAGGAAGTACAAGATTGTATTCCCACATATATTGTAGAGCCTATGCTATTAAATATTTCCTCTGACAGGTATGGAGGAGCTGCACCTGGAGACAGAACTATGGTAAGAAATTTATCCTAGTTTGTCTTTAAGTTCCTTCCCTTAGTGCCATGATGGCAGTTTGAAGTAAGAGTGTAATAGCCACATTTTCCTTGCTTTATTCACTATCACTACTTGCAGATACTTCATATAATAGTATATGTGAAGTACTTAATGTTTTGTTGTTGTTGTTTAGTCGTTAAGTCGTGTCCGACTCTCCGTGACCCCATGAACCATACTGCGCCAGGCCTTCCGGT